CACAGAGGTGATCTCCCTCCCGGTTAAAAAAGCGGCACATGTGAGTGCCAGACCAGCCCGTTCTGCACCTCCGCACCTCCTACCAGTCTCAGTGTCCTTTTTCCTTTACTTCTCTAGTGGTAGGACCTACATTCAGCCAGTTTTCTGGTGGTTCTAAATGACAGTTCTGTATTTTAGTTGTAATTTTGATGTGGTTGTGGGAGGCAGCGAGTACAGGCGTTTGCCTACGCTGCCATCTTGGTTCTCCTGTGTTTATTTATTTATTTTTATTTTTTTTCTGATTTCAGAGCGGAAGAGAGAGAGAGAAACATCAGTGATGAGAGAGAATCATTGATTGGCTGCCTTCTGCACATCCCATACTGAGGATCACGCCCATAACCCAGGCATGTGCCCTGATCGGGAATTGAACCATGACCTCCTGGTTCATAGGTTGATGCTCAACCACTGAGCCATGTTGGACAGGTGCTATTCATCATTTTGACTATTTCTTGCCACTCCCTTCTGGCCTGCAAAGTTTCTGTTGAGCCGTAACTGGTTTGGCTCAGTGGATAGAGCATCGGCCTGTGGACTGAAAGGTCCCAGGTTTGATTCCAGTCAAGGGCATGTACCTCGGTTGTGGGCACATCCCCAGTGGGGGGTGTGCAGGAGGCAGCTAATCGATGTTTCTCTCTCATCGATGTTTCTAACTCTCTATCCCTTTCCCTTCCTCTCTGTAAAAAATCAATAAAATATATTTTTTTAAAAAGTTTCTGTTGAGAAGTCAGCTGACAGTCATATGGGTGCTTCCTTGTAGGTAACTAACTACTTTTCTCTTACTGCTTTTAACTCTCTCTTTGGCCCTAACCGGTTTGACTTAGTGGATAGAGTGTCAGCCTGGGGGCTGAATCGTCCCGGGTTCAATTCCAGTCAAGGGCATGTACCTTGGTTGCAGGCTCGATCCCCAGTAGGGGGCATGCAGGAGACAGCTGATTAATGTTTCTCTCTCATCGATGTTTCTCTTTCCTTCTCCCTCTCTGTAAAAATCAATAAAATATATGTTAAAAAAAAGAAAAGAAAAAGAAAGCCAGCAGGGACTGCTTTAAAAAAAAGATTATCTCTTTGTCTTTAACCCTTGGCATTTTAATTATGATGTGTCTTGGTGTGGGCCTCTTTGGGTTCCTCTTGTTTGGAACTCTGTGCTTCCTGGACTTGTAAGTCTATTTCTTTCACCAGGTAGGGGAAGTTTTCTGTCATTATTTCTTCAAATAGGTTTTCAATATCTTGCTCTCTCTCTTCTCCTTCTGGCACTCCCATAATGCAAATATTGGTATGCTTGAAAGATAGTGTAAGAGGCTCCTTACACTATCTTCATATTTTTGTATTCTTTTTGCTCTTTTGATTGCGTGTTTTTTACTTCCTGCAAGCTACTGTTGAATCCCTGTAAGCTATTCTTTATTTCAGTTAGTGTATGCTTAGTTTCCAACTGGTCTTTTTTTATATCTTTGACATTCTAAGATCCTTGAAAGTCTCAGTAAGTCCCTTGAAACTCTCATTAAGTCCCTTGAAATTGTCATTAAGATCCTTGAGTAAACTATTGTTTTGAACTCTGTATCCAGTAGCTTGCTTGCTTGCTTCCATTTCTTTCATTTGTAACATGTTTCTTTGTCTTTGCATTTTGGCTGCTTCCCTCTGTTTGTTTCTATGTATTAGGTAGAGCTGTTATATCTCCTGAAATTGGTAGTGGGCCTTGTATAATAGGCGTCCTGTAGGGCCCAGTGGCTCAGCCTCCCCAGTCACCTGAGCTGGTCACTATAGGTACACCCCTGTGTGGGCTGCATAGTCTTGTTGTAGTTAATTGGTGTTGGCATCACTGGGAGGAATTGGCCTCCATTCCAGTTGGCTGTGAGGACCAGCTGCATCTACAGTGGAAGAGCTGCTATGCAGGAGACACCCCTGGGGAGCAGGACTTGCTTCAATGGGGCTTTGGTGCTCCCTGAGTTGGCCCCTCGCATGTGTTGTGTGTCACTTGTGGATGTGTAGAGTTGTAATATGGTATGGTCTGAAGCTGTCTACAGGGTACACTGTCTGTGGGGCCTCTTGGAAGGTGCAGAGTTAGCCACTGCCTGGGGCCACCCGACAGAAGGTACAGAGAGATCCGCAGATGCCTGCTATTTGTATTGGGCTAGGAAGTGCCCAGGCGAGGCCCAGCTGTGAGGCAGGGCAGGCTGGTGCTAGTGCTGGGTATTGGGCCTTTTATTGGTAGGTTTGGGGCATGCTGACTCCAGCTGCTGCTTGTTTAAGAGATTTGAGCAAAGCGTGAAGCCTGAGCCAGGACAGGCCATTCATATGGAAAAGCAGCTGCAAACAGCTGGGGTGGGACTGCAAATTGGGTTGGGTGGGGTCTCAGGGAATCACCAGAGCCAAGCGAACAGTGTGGGCCACACTGATGGAAACTCAGATATGGCCGCCAGTCAGCTCTTCGATGGGGGAGGTCCCAGCATAGGAACAGTGACCCCTGTGGGCACCCTGTCTGGGAGAAAGCTGCCCCTGAGTTCCGGCCCCAATGCCAGACAATCCAGTTCCTCCCTGTACGTCCCTGGATTTCCCCAAAGCCGCAGCCCGGTGCTGGAGCTAGGAGGAAATGACCATGTAAGCTCTTTTGTGGGCCGTTTAAGAGGAACACCTGGAATTCCATCCGCCACAATCCCCACTGTATTTTACAGCCCAAAGTTACGGGGACTTACTCTTCCCAGCTCTGGAACCCTGGGCTGGGGGTCTGGTTTGGGGCTGGGACCCCCCGCTTCTCACTGGAGGCCTTGGAGATCTCCCTCCCGATTAAAGAAACACCAAAGAAACACCATACTCAGGTGCCCAGCCCTTAATTGCCTCCCCCGCTCCTACCAGCCTCAGTGTGCTTTCTTGTTTACTTTTCTAGTTGTAGGACTTCCATTCAGGCAGACTTCAGGTGGTTCTGAGTGATGGTGGTTCTGTGTTTTAGTTGTAATTTTTTAAAAAAATATATTTTATTGATTTTTTACAGAGAGAAAGGGAGAGGGATAGAGAGTTAGAAACATCGATCAGCTGCCTCCTGCACACTCCCTACTGGGGATGTGCCTGCAACCAAGGTACATGCCCTTGGCCGGAATCGAACTCCAGACAGTGAGTAACAGCATTTACCTCCACTGCCATCTCGGTCCTCTAATTTTATTTTTCAATTACAGTTGACAGTCAATATTAGTTTCAGATGTCCTTTTCACCCAACTCCCCAAACCCCTCCCTTCTGGCAAACCTGTTTGTTCTCTGTGTCTATGAGTCTGCCTCCGTTGTCAGAAATTGTCTGTATTAGGGATGATTTATTTCTGGGCTCTCTATTCTATTCTATTGATCTATATATCTGTTTTTATGCCAGTCCCATACTGTTTTATTGTAGCTTTATTGTTTGATATCAGGGATCGTGATATCTCCCACTTTGTTCTTTCTCACGATTTCTTTGGATGTTTGGGTCTTTTGTGATCCCATTTAAGTTTTAGGATGTTATTCTTTGTGTGTGTGCGTGTGCGTGTGTGTGTGTGTGTGTCCTAAGTGAATCTCATTAGAAGTTTAGGAAACCAAACCCTTTGTAATAGCCCTCTCTCTCTGGCCAGTATCAGAACATCACAAGTCTTGTAAGTGGCCTGCAGCTTTCTCTACCTACTTCAGCCTCACAGATGGACACCATCATGGATGGACCAATTGAATGTGCAAAGTTTCCCCCTTCTACTGTATTTTCCATTTCATTTGTTGTACTCCTCAGGTTTGCTTGGTCTTTTTTTTTATTGTCTAAAGTTTTCCCCTAATTGACATCCCCCCCCCCCCCCCCCCCGCTTGGTTCTTTCTTATACTTTCTCTTTGTTGAAATTCTCCCTAAATACCTCTCCAGTTTGGTGAGCATCATCATGACTGTTTCTTTGAATTCTTTATCAAGCAAATTACTTATTTCCATTTCCTTAAGATGTTTTTATGGATGTTTTTCTCGTTCCTTTGAAAGATATTTTGTCTTTTCATTTTGTTTAACTGTGTATGAGGGTTAAGAATTAGACAAAATAGCCCTAGCCAGTTTGGCTAGGTGAGTAGAGCGTAGGCCTGTAGACTGAAGGGTCCCGGATTTGAATCCGGTCAAGGGCACGTGCCTTGGTTGCAGACTCAATCCTTGGCCCTGGTTGGGGAGCATGCGGGAGGCAACCAATCAATGTGTTTCTCTCACATCGAAATTTCTCTCTGTCTTTCCCTCTCTCTAAAAATCAATGGAAAAATATCCTAAAAGAAAGAAAAAGAAAAGAACTAGACACGATAGCGCTCTCTCCCAGTCATGGAAAAGTGTTCTGATGTGGTAGACTGTAGGCTGCGTGTGCCAGGGGTTTGGCCAGTCAGTAGGAGGTGAGCTGGTGCCTAAGGATTGCTGGGGAAGGAGGCCAGGTGTGTGGTGACGGTGTGACCCCACTTGCTCCTTGTTCAGGCCAATAGGCTCATGAAACATAAGCCTGGAACAGACCCCTGGATGGAGCCTCCCCTTCTTCTCCTTGTACAGAAAGTGGCCTGTGTAGGTTATGGCTGTCAGGTGGTTTGGGCCGTTGGTAGGAGCCTAGCGGGTACCTAAGCATGAGTCTCAGGTGGAGACCCGGGGCCCTGATGTCCCTCTGTTCAGAGGCAGAGGGTCTGGGCAGTGTGGCTGGAACCACCGCTGCGCTCCCCTGTGCAGGTGGCGGGACACGAGCCATGGTGCTCACCGCAGAGGGTTCCCACCGAGCCTTCTGCTCAGCTCTGCCTTGTCAGAAACCACTGGTTCAGCCCTGTTGTCTCTCAGGGATAAAGGATTGTCTGTGTGTGTATCTGAGTTTGCTCCTGGGAGGGGCGAGGTCATGGGACCCTGCACTGCCCCATCCCCAGACCCCTCTAGTGAGTCTCTTTCTGGGAAGAAGCCCATTGGCATTTTAGCAGTTGGGTTTCGGTAACCGGCTTCAAAGTAAGCTCAGAGGCACAACTTAAAAGCAAAATGTTTATTGGAGTGTTGTACAAAAACGTTTCCAGTCAGAAAATGTATATTACAAAGCATTGGAGGGGAAAAAAAAAAAAAGACCACACATTTGGCATGCACCTTAAAAACCACCAATACATCTGAAATGAAAGTGCAGACCCCCCCCCCCCCCCCCCCCGCAGTTCTGGAAGCCTCCTCCACTGCTAGTTGTGCTGAGGTGTCGGGTTGGACGGGAAACCTGGTGAGCAGCTCTGCTGGGGAAGGTTAGCCCTGTGGGTATGCTAATGTGAACACAACTGCAGGGGCCGCTGTACGAGTCTCCGCTAGGAAACTAGCTGAGTGGCCATGTCCTGGGTGGGCGCCCAGGCTGGGCTCTGGACTAGTGCCCTCGCAGACACCTCCCTGCAGGCCGCCCCCTCGCCGCTGCTGGGGGCCGGTCTGGTTTTCTCTGGGAACAATGCTGGGTTCAGTCACATGACAAGGGCTCAGACGGAGGACTCACTTCTGCATCATTGTAAGTGGCTTAAAGCTCAGCTTGTTTAAGGACACGTGCACTGTTTCCCAGGCCATGGCAGCAATTTCACACTGATTTCTGCTCCATGGTTCCAAACACTTGATTACTGGTGAGTGTCACCCCCGGGTCCAGATGACCCTCCCCCCTGGTGGCCTGGACCACTTCCCAGCTCCACCCAAGGCCTCTGCCAAGCACTGGGGGGGAGGGGCTCTCCCTTTCTGTCCATGAGCTTGTAACTGAGAATGACTGTTAGCAAACCAGACCCAAATTCAAGGACCCAGTTTTGATCTCCCAGATTCCCCCAAAATGTCACTGGATGTCAGTGCCTCTTTTGTCTGGGGTGGGGGGTGCACACAACCTTCAGCCCCAGGAGCCCTGCAAGCACTCCCAGGAGAGGTTCGGGTGGGGTACAGGGTGCTGCACTGCCAGGCGGGCAAGCTCTCTGGGGCCCACCAGACCCTTCTTTGAGTCCTGGTGACACCCTTCCCTCCTAGGCCTGGGAACGTAGGGTGGCCATGGGGAGGACCCAGATGTAAAGCGAGGGCTATGGGTGAACTCAACACAACAGCACATTTAGGTTGTCAGCCACTGGGGCTCCACCTCCTCACTGTAAGCAATTCCCAAGGAAAGCCAGGCCTGGGGGTGTGTGCAGGGCAAATGGGCAGGTGTGCTTCTCCCAGCCAGGGGACCCGCAGGGCCAGCCACTGGGTGCTCTGAGACTGCTGCCCAGGCAGCACGCCGCCCTGGCTCATAGCGAGTGTTTAAGTAAGACTTGAGCTGCCCTTTCTGAAGAAGTGTGCCATCTGCGGGCTCAGAGCTCACGGACAGGCTCCCTGGGGGCTGTCCCCATGACTGGCCTGAGCCATGGAAGCAGGATCGGCAATCTGAGTACTGACCAATGTAAAAAAATAAATATCCATTAAAAAAATAACTTCTGTGTATCTAGGTGGGGGCTGTAAACGGTAGGCTAATGCAGAGAGGGTCACTGGGCAGCCAGAAGCTAGCCTGTGACATGGAACCACCCTAAAGGGGTCAGCTGGCAGTGGCCTGAGTAACATAATTTCCGCAAGAGTTACAGATAGAAGCAAGAACAGTGATATATGTGCAGAATACAGTGCGTCCACAAAAAATGTACACACTGTAATAGCTGATAGCTCAATTTTGAAAATGAAATGTGTTTTAATAAACACTGCCTTTATAATTATTCAAAGTGTGTGTATACATTTTTTGGGGTCACCATATATATATATATATATATGGAGGCGGGAGGCTGGCATTCAGCCCCGGCACGAGGTGTATTTGGGGGTGCATCCAGGGGCTCACCCTGAAGTCAGTGTCTTCGTGACAGGAGGCACGAAGTGGTTACACGTGGACCTGGTTCTAGAACCTGAGGCGTGTGCTGCCGAGGTTCACCCTGGGCCCTCACTGGACCTGGTTGCGTCTTGGGTTGGAAGTGCTCCTGCCCCAGGTTTCCTCCTCTCCTGTCCTACTGGTCTGGTTTGGCAGCCGTCATGGGAACGAGGAGCCCCCACCCAACGGTGCCCTGATTGACACCGGCGGAAAACCCTGCTGCCACTCAACACCTTCAGAGCAGGAGCTGCAACAACCCTGAAGCCAGGCGGACAGTAAAACCTGTGACTCCCAAGAGCTCCCACACCATGTTCTGGTGGGCAGAGCCACCAAACCCACTGGGGACACCCCTATCCCACCAGGCAGGAACCTGGTCTCTGATTTTGGTTTTTAAAAGCTTAATAACACAAAGGACACCTACTGAATCCCTGCGGCTTCTCTGCCGTCCCGTTAGACTGGGGAGGGAGGGGCAGTACGTGGGCCCCTCCAGCCTCCAAGACCAAACCCATCAGCCAGTAGGTTCCTGGGCCTGGAGTTCAACCCACGGGAAACGGGCACCGAAAGACACCTGGACAGTGGTTGGAGGGAGGGCCCATAGAAACCCACTGACAGAACAGAACAGACCCACCCCACATCTGGCAGTTTGCTTAAAAATGCTCTAGAAATGTGTGAAGGACTGAAGAAAGCCAATGATATAAAAATAGTCTTCAGTGGCTCTGGGGAAAGATGTGGTGAGGCGTGTTCCGTTCACATCACGCGGCAGCCTCTCGAGGTGGTCCTCGGGTCCCCCTGGAGGGAGGACAGCAGCAGTCACGTGGGGCTGGTGGCCCCCAACCCCCCCGGGAGGGGCTGGGCCAGCCCAGGGCCTGAGCCACCTCAGGAAGACCAGCCCCCCACAAGATGACAAGGCTAACGGCATCAGCTGTCCCTGTTCCAGAACCTTCCATGTCTCCCTTACTGATGTTTTAAGCTACATAACACATCACAATTTTGTCTCAAACACTGTGTCTAACACGGTTGGTGCTAGGTTCTCCATCTTCTCCCCAAAGGCCATTATTTAAGTCACCATTCTCCGACCAAAATCATGGTGCCAGAGCATTCTCTGAGACCATGAGGGCAGTCCCAGCGGTGCCACCTAGAGAGGCAGTCCGCTGTCAACACCCCACTCCCAGGGTCCCTGGACTCGTACCCTGAGGTCCACACAACAGGCAAGACCTAGAGGCAAGGAATGCTGCCCCATGGCCGTCTCCAGCTACAAACCGCAGGGCCCAGCAGAGCCAGGAGCTGAGGGAGCCTTGTGGTGCCAAGGACCAGCCAGCAGGGCCTGTGGGTGCACGTGTGTGCGTGTGCGCGCCCGAATGAGCCCCCCGGGGCCCTACCTGCTGATGGAAAAGATCCTCCTCGCCAAACTCGGCTCCCTCTTCTTCTCCCTCCTCCCCGTTCTCGGTCTCCCGCACCACCGAGGACTGTTTCACCGTTCTGATGGCCACTTCCTGTGTAAGACAAGAGCCATGGCCACCAACTCCTCAGGTGCAGGGGCCCAGCCCACGTTGGTGGCAGTCAACATGCTTGCTCAGGGTGTCACCACACTGCAGAGTGCCATCTGGGGACCAGGCCCAGGGCTGCCTTCACTGGCTCCGCTGGCCGAGGCTCCACCCCAGGGCTCCTTCCTGCACTGGCTGGTGGTGTGGTGTGAGGTGGACAGAGGAGACCCAAGGACTGAGGCAGAGGAACCCCACATCCAAGCCCCAAGCACCCACCTCCCCATCGGCGTTGACCAGGACAGTCCGGAAGCTCTCGCCTGTCCCCCAGCTGTTCTGACTCTTCCACACAAGTGTCGATGGGGGGCTGTGGGCCACCCCTGCACCAGCTGCCCACACCTGGAGACACAAAGAGGCCTCCCTCAGTGCTGTTAGCCAGTCCCTTACCAGAGCCCCCCTTTTGATGCACCAGGCGTTTAATCCTTCCAGCCTTTCTGGATCCTACCCAGAAATGATCACTAGGGTATGGAAGAAGAGACTGAAGTTCATAGTGGCCAAGGACATTCATCTTGGCAAATAGGATGAGCTGGGATCTGAAGCCTGTTAGCTCCAGGGCCCATGCCCATGCCCATGCCCATGACTGTTATATCTCTTGCCAATTCCCACTGGCCCAGAAAGCCTGGACTGACCCACCTCCACCATGGGATCCTGGCATAACAATTAGGCATTCCAAAGGGCTCTAGGGAGGGCCCAATGGAACTAGGCCGGCACACACGTGATTTGTGGCAGCTTTTCTCAAAACCGGGTACTCAACCACTACTCCATCCCCAAGCCAGGTCCTGCTTCTCCAGCCCCATCACACATTCTGTCACCTATGTGGTTGCTGCTGCCATCCCCCTCCCACTGGTGGCCACTCTCCCTATCCCTGCAACTCCCTCCGCTCAGCCCACCTGCCCTTCCAAAGCCACCTACCGTGACAGTCTGGCCAGCCCGGAGCACATACTTAGGTGTGAACTTGTAGGCAATCTCCTCCCCTTCTAGCACCTGCCTCTTGATCCTCCAGTTCCCCAGAGACTGGTCCTGCAAAGGGGAACTGCCTGAAACACAGCCCAGACCCAACTGGGGAGCCCTCCGCCCCAGCGGCAAGGCCCCTTACCTTGTCGGAGCTGTTCTTCAGCTGCACAAACTTGCCCTCCAGGTCGATCTCCTCAATGCTAACGCTGCCCGAGGCTGAGGCCTGCTGGGCCAGGTGGAAGCTGCTGCTGCTGCTGCTGCCGCTGCCCAAGCTGATGCCACTGGAGCCTGTGCCCGGTGGCTCCTCTGTCTCTAGCCGCCTCCGCTTGCTGCGGCCAGAGCGTCCCATCATGGACACACTGCTGCCGCTGCTCGAGGTGGCCCTTGAGATGGTGACCCGTGACGATGGGCTGGGGGAAAGCTTCAGCCTGGGGAAAGGGGCACAGGGTGACTGGTGGTGGCAGCGAGAGCCTGTTGGCTTAAGGTCAGACCAGAAGAGCCTGGACAGTGCAAGGTGGGCGGACTTACTCAGCAGTCTATCCTGACTGGCCCCAGGCTGGCCTCTCCTCCTTACACCTCCCTAAAAACCCCACCCTCCACCTCCCACCCTCTCCCTTCTTGGATCACCCCTCATGCCACCTGATGTCTCCTCCTAGCCAGCAACCTCCTGCCTCCCCCTCTCCCTCCTCCTCGCCCTCCAGCAGCTTGCGGTAGGCGCTGATCTCCATGTCCAGAGCCAGCTTGACGTCCAGCAGCTCCTGGTACTCGGCCAGCTGCTGCTGCATCACATCTCGCATTTCCGTCATCTCCAGCTCCTTAGCATCCAGCATCTTCCGGAACCTGTCACGCTCCCCGGCCATGGCCTCCTCCAGCTCCCGGATCCGGTCCTCAGCTGCACTAGCCTGGGGAGGGGGTCCGAGGGCCAGGTCAGGGCAGCCTGTGTGGGTCACAGGAA